CTCTCTCTCTCTCTCTCTCTCTCTCTCTCTCTCTCTCTCTCTCTCTCGGAAGGGACAGAAAGAAAAAGAAATAAAGAAGGAGGGAGGGAGGAGAAAGATAATGAGATATCTATTCTAGTCCAATCACCTGCTCCAGCAGGGTTAGAAGGGAGTGTGTGTGTGTGTGTGTGTGTGTGTGTTCTCCTTGTAATTTACCAGTACATTTTGGTTTTGCCTTCTTCAGAATTGGCACTGTAATACATTGGGGAAAAGTAATTTTTAGGGTGGAGATCTGGTCCAATGGATCCTGTTTAAAGCCTCAACAAAATATGAGAGGGGTGCATCAATCTGATGCATCAGGTCTCTCTCTCTCTCTCTCTCTCTCTCCCTCCCTCCTTCCCTCCCTCCCTCCTTCCCTCCTTCCCTCCTTCCCTCTCAGGCTGGCTTTGCTCTACTTTCCCGATGTGCCTGCGGGGCCGGCGCTTCGAACATGGATGGATGGATAGAGAGAGAGAGAGAGAGACAGACAGACAGACAGACAGGCAGGCAGGCAGGCAGGCAGGCAGGCAGGCAGGCAGGTAGGCAGGAAGGCAGGCAGGCAAACAGACAAATCTTTTGGATGGATGGATGGATGGATGGATGGATGGACGGACAGAATGCAACAGAGGCAGCACTTTGGGAAAGCGGTGGCAGCGGCTTTTCCCAACGTGCTGCCGCATTCGAGGCACCAGTTCTGGAGCATTACTACAGTCAATGGGTGAACCTGCAGGGCCGGGGCCTCGAACGCCCCCCTGCCGCCTCTTAGTGTCCACAAAGGGGGCGGCAGAGGGGAGCTAAGAGGCAGCAGAGGGGCGTTCAAGGTGCTGGCCCTGCAGTTTCACCGATTGACTAGCACCGCTCCAGAGTCAGCGCCTCCAATGCGGAAGCAGTGGCACGTTACATGCTGCCATGGCTGCGTTTGACATGCTGCCTCCCTGCTGGATTTAAGTGCAAATTTGAAATTAACCAATTTGTCCTCTGGACAGTCCTCTTCATGATCAAGCTGCAGAAATGAAGGTTTCTCAGATCAGTTGTGACCAGAAGGGGTGTGTTTTCCATCACATTTGCAACTGTGTGTAGTGTAAATTTATGGACATTAGTACTGTTCTTTCTAACTTCCAATACACTTTTTGGATTATAATTTCTTCTTCAGTTAAACAGGGACTTTCTTCAGATACAGATAAGTGTTTCTTTTTGGTGATTTAAGTTATTTCTGGAATTATAATATTTAGAAACATTTGAGCGTTTTACTGATTTTTGTTTACGTTGCAAAAGGTTTTTTAATCTAGAGATTAAAATCTTTAAATGGAAAGAAATAGCTTTTCTTTTTGAAAGAGAGAATAGAAAGATCATTGTATGGGAAAGTTGTCTTGTTTACATAATAATTATAAAACAAAATCTTGAGGGTGGATTATCAGAGCACAAGAGGGATACTTTAAAAGAAAAGTTTTAAAGGAGCTGGCAGAGGTCATCTCAGAAGCACTGCACCATATCTTTCAAAAATCCTGGAGCACCGGGAAACTACCAGGGAATTGGAAAAGAGCTGATGTGGTTCCCATCTTCAAAAAAGGGGAAAAAAACAGACCCAGGAAACTATAGACCAATCAGCCTAACATTAATACCCAGGAAGATACTGGAAAAGATAATAAAAAAACAGATCTGCCAACATCTAGAAACAAGTAAAGTAATAACTAGCAGTCAGCACAGGTTTTTTAAAAAGAAGATCATGCCAAACCAATCTTATTTCATTCTTCAACACAGTGACTAAATTAGTAGACCAGCAAAATACTGTGGACATAATATATTTAGATTTCAGCAAGGCATTCGACAAAGTAGACCACAACCTACTTCTTAGTAAGCTGGAAAAAAGTGGAATAGATAGCACCACCACTAGATGGACTCGCAACTGGCTGGCAAACCATACTCAACGAGTAGTCCTTAATGAGTCTAAGTCTACATGGAGGGAAGTAAGCAGTGGGGTGCCACAAGATTCCGTCTTAGGCTCAGTACTCTTCTTTAGTAAGACCATACTTAGAGTACTGCATCCAGTTTTGTTCACCACATTATAAAAAAGATGTTGAGACTCTAGAAAAAGTACAGGGAAGAGCAACCAGGATTATTAGGGGACTGGAGGCTAAAACATACAATGAATGGTTGCAGGAACTGGGCTTGCCTAGTCTAGTAAAGAGAAGGATCAGGGGAGACATGATAGCAGTCTTCCAATATTTGAGGGGCTGTCACAGGGAGGAAGGGGTCAAGCTATTTTCTAAAGCGCCTGTAGGCCAGACAAGGAATAATGGATGGAAACTGAACAAGGAGAGATTTAACCTGGAAATGAGGAGAAACTTTCTGACAGTGAGAACAATCAACCAATGGAACAGCTTGCCCTCGGAAGTTGTGGGAGCGCCATCACTTGAGACTTTCAAGAAGAGATTGGACTGCCATTTGTCAGAAATGGTGTAGGGTCTCCCACTTGGGCGGGGGGTTGGACTAGAGGATCTACAAGGTCCCTTCCAACTCTGATTATCTGTTATCTGTTAAATATTTGATTTATGGACCTGTGAAATGCTTGAACATTTTAACTCTTTACTGGAACCAGAAGCTATTTCTGAAGATGAATAAATCCCTGTGGAGACAATTGAGATTGATTCACTGGATTTATAAATACAATTTATAAATACAATAATAAATCAAAAATTGAAAAAAGTAGATTACCTGTTCAAATTGAAATAGAAGAGATTTGTTGGAGTTACTTCACAGAAACTACAAGTGAATTTAACAGATGATAAGAAGCGGGAGACACTAGAAGAAAACAGGATTATTTGTGGGACTTAAGGATGGTTGGGAGGAAGAAGCAAAAATATAAAATTGATTTACCTAAGTATAGTTAAATAATACCTAAGTATGGTTAAATTTCTATTTCTGGTAATGTTGAATGTTATCTGGATTGGATAGTGTTTCTTTTGGAAATGTCTCATGGAGTAATTGATTAGTTTTTGGATATCTAAATAAGGAGTGGTTATTTTTAGTAATTTTTGATAGTTTTTAATTTCTTTTTTGCTATGTTTAAAGAGAGGGATTAATATATTGTAGACCTAATGGAAAAGGAAATTATATATTTATGTTAATAAGTATTTTTGCAATTTACTGGATCTTTGTTGATTAATAAGGAGAATTGAGGATTTAGAGATGGGTTTATAGAACATGGGGGAAAGTATCAAATGAAAATGTCCTATTTTAAGAGACAGTAATGAGTTGTTAATGAAGCTACTTTTGGACTTTATATCAGAAAGAAGGATTAATAATTAGAATTATATGGAATTGTAGAAGTAGCATAGACTATTGTTGATTTTAAAATAAGAATCTGTCTTCTTTTTTATTTACATTTTCTTGTTTACTTTTTATTAACATTTTTGACATTTTATTGACATTAATAAAATTAAATTAAACATTTAGATATATATTTCTTTATTTGAATCTAGGAAATAATGCTCTCACTGTGTCAAACACAGCTTCAATCCCTAATATTAACTTCTTATTTGACTAGAGCTATTTCCTTTGCAAATATTTTTGAAATTTTTTTTAAAAAACCAAATATGTTGGAGCTGGAGAGGAATTTAGTTGAAATTTGACAAGTTATCACCAGCAACATTTCACTTTCCCATTTTGTCAAATAGACTCACTTTTCCTAGACTTCAGTAAATATTACATAAGTATAGAGTGATTAGATGTGGAATCTAATATCATTTGGGCAAAATCTCATTTGATTGATTGATCATGCAATGCAGCCATAAGAACTGTGGATATGAATTGAACAAATGATATTGAGACACAAGAAGAATATTTAATACTTCACCACAATCTGAAATGTTTGCATGCAGATTTTAAAAAAAACTTGGTTTCCAGTGATGCCACTCACACTGATGAAGATAATTTTTGGTAGGGATAGACAACGTTTAGAAACAACTGGGTAAAAGCACATGAAGAATGCCTAAATCATTATGGTGATTCTTTTAACTGAATCTATTTCTCTTAGTCTGAATCCCCACTTCATGTGTCCTTTTCAATGTTGAATTTTACTGAAAGCAAAACTTTATTTTCCTTTTATGATTAATGAAGGATTAAAAGGAGATTATTAGTGAGGAATAACCTGAGAAAGAAAGGCTGGCAGAAGAGAATAACAGAAATGCACCATACCTGTTGTTTGGCTATGATATAACCTAAGTAGAACAATTTGAATCTTGTATAGTCATTGAAACAAGAGACCAGTAATGGACTGCCAGAATAGTGAATGATAGGCCATAACTGACATTATACATGAAGGCTTTATGGAAGTATGGAGATATAAGTGAAAGACACAGGACAAAATGGGAAATAATTTGTAGGGGAGAAAGTGTATCTAATGCAAGCTTATCATATGTTATAGCACTTAAAAATAGAAGTAAACTTGGATGAGGTTGTTTTTCCAATTACTTTTCCCAGTGTCTTCAACTTCAAATACAGTCATTCAGAAATTATCTGAGACCCAGATAAATGCTATCTTTGTTTTGTTGACTGCCTTCAAAATTCATATTCAAATTTATTTATTACATCCCTGAGGCCAGATACAAACAAGAAAAATAAAAGAGGAAGAATTTTCAATACTAAATAGCAAGTAACTCTGCTGTTACATTTATACATAATATAATAGATGGGGCTACTTTTAAACCATTTAATTCCCTTCCAAATAATATCTACAAAATGCAGCATTCTGAATACATGTGAATTAATAAAAGATATTAGAAAGTGCTCAACTTCAAGCTCTTTTTCATTCATATTTTTCTTAAATCTTTTCCTTTCCGCATCAGAATAAATGACTGTTCAAATCGGGTATGGAAGTTGTTTAGATTAGTAGGCTAAAGTATCCCCTTACCTACATATGCCATACATTTGAGTACATTTATGGTTTCTTTGCCATTTAATGTGCCTGAAATTATATTTTTAGTGCATGTTATCTTTGAAACTCATCACAGGTTGGGTTTTATTTATTTTTATTCATTCTGGCAGCATAGGTTGTATGTTAGCATGAATATATTTCCACCACCAGAAATCACATTTAAGCACTTGTTTATTACACCATATGAGTGTGCTGTGTCATTTATAAGCATCTGCAAATGATTAGTATACAATCATTATTATAGGCTTGAAGAATACATATTTGCCTAAAGAACAAGGGTTTGTAGTTCTGGGTTTCTAAACATATTGAAATCATCAGGGTGCTGAAGTGATACATCTGGTTTTTAAAATCATAGGAGGTTTCTTGGGTGAAATTTAAAGTCTTTAGTAAAGCTGTTTTTTTTAAAGGTACTGAGTTGGCTAGCAATGTAGTGACTATCAAGACAACTTCTTTCTTTTAATTTAAACTGCTTTTACATGTGTATATGTTTTTACAGTCCCTGGCCCTTATAATTGGAAAGATATCATGCTTGGCCAACTGAGATCAAAAGATCTCAAATCTGTACCCTAAATTTTATAAAGACCCTTGGATATATTACTTCTCTGGGACTGTGTGTGCCATATTTTTGTATCATTGCTCTCACTCAATTACACATACATACAGTTTAAGGAAGACATGGATTTGCAACCCTTCCAAATTGGGCATTTCATGTTGATGGGGTAAAGTTAAAAGTAAGCATGGCCAAAACGGAACCCCCCAAATGGGAATGCTGAAAGTGAAAATCTTTAAAGATGCCTGGTGTCTTTTTTCCATAACTTGGTTTCCTTTCCATTCATCATGCCTTAATCTTAAAACAACTGTGTTTATTTCAATTGATTTACTAAGAATTGGAGATAATTGAATAAAACTCTGGGGTCCCCATTAAGATCTAGCTGGACAGAGGAACGAACTGCCATTGCTTATACACTATAAGCACCTCTAGTTCTTGTTTTGCAGCTCGCGCCCCACCAGTAAACAAATTGTTATAGTTTAGGACTGCAGAAATCTAGATGACCGCTATATGGCAATAATCCAAATTCTAATTCTTAGCTGTGACCTGGTAGCCATATAGATTTTTGCAGCTAAATTGGTTTCCCTTTGTTAGATGGACCCTAAAATATTTTGAACATAAAACCCATCATGAATAGGGATACCAGATCTGAGATTCAAGAATTTGAATAACCATTATTAATAAGGAATTAGAATTTCTATTATTACCATTTAATCTAATGGTTGTCCAGATTTCTTCAATCTATATAGACAGCTCTAAATATAAATAAATATGAATATTCTGGAATTCCCATACTTGCATGTGTTATAGGACTATGCAGGATGAAACTGATTGGAAAGAAGCATTTTGGGCCTTATGTAAGGGTAGCATCTGCAGCATCTCTGTTCCAGTTGAATCCTCAAAAAGGTTGTGGCTCTTATTGTTAGCAGGAAAAGTGTTGTGCTGGCACAACGACTGAAGTGCTTCTTACAGTTCAATTTGAAAATGTGCAGAGACCTAGAATCTAAATTGTGTTTCAAGGATAAAGTTATTTTTTAGTCCTTGGCTTTCAATATTTTATTATTTTTAAGGAAATGGATGTCCTACTTTCCCTTGAAGAAAGGAGTCTCAGAGTCTTTTGTGAGTCTAGCTCACAAAATGTTAAAACTATATAAAACACAGTAACCATGTATTTTAAGAGAAAATGAATATCTAAAGTTAAAATGCAAAGGATCGGCACTAACTGTCAAATAAAATGTCTCTCCCTCTCTGCCTCCCTCCCTCCCCCCGCTCTATCTATCTATTTATCTATCACATTATAGAGAGTTTCTTTCTTTATTAGATCTCCCGTTAAGATGCTAACTAACTTTCCAAGCACTGGAGCCCCCTCCAGGATGTGGTATTCTCATAATGTGTCTGAAGTAGGAAAATTTAAGTCTGGTTTCAAGTGAGAATTCTGAGCTGATTTGTTTAATGTTCCATTTGTTTGTTTTCTTTGCTAATAGGGTATTTTGTATATTTGTTTTTTTGCATCTTACTGTTTGTTTTTCCACTCTTTTTCTACAAAGTTCCACCTACAATTAAAGGAGAAAATATTACCACTGAGGTGTCAGCATTGCAATATAGCATCTTAAAGCTGGAGTGTGAAGCAAGAGGAATTCCAGTTCCTACAATAACATGGTATAAAGATGGAAGCCCAATTATTTCTGGTCCCCAAGCCCTTTATTTGGAACATGGACAATTTCTCCAGATTCCTCATGCTCAAGTTTCTGATTCGGCTCAATATATCTGCCAGGCAACCAATGAAGCTGGAATGGCTGAAAAAATATTCCAGGTGGATGTCTACGGTAAGAAGTGATATCACTATTTACTATTTGCCACTTTTTCCAGTACTGTTGCAGTGCTGGAAGTTGATTTGTGAAACTTGGCGATTTCTGGTCTTTAAATGTTCCAGTCTCCTCTTGGCTGGTAACTATTTTGCACCTTCTTTTTGCCTTAAGCTATCAGCAGGGTTGATCCATATTTAAGTGAGAGCAGTAGTCATAGCATAACATGGGTGAGAAAGAGGAGAAAGAAACTAGTTCTCTATCATTTTTTCTCACCTGGAGAATGAATTCCATCATTGGTGAGCATTCCTGTAAAAATGTGCCATTGAGCTCTTTTCTCTCTCTTGGTCATCCATGTTATACTTTCCATCCTTCTTTCTCAAGAGGTGATCATAGGCATCCACATGAGAGGTGAAGGGGGGAAAACTGATTTAATGTACATCATGTCGTATAATTTGTGACTTTCATACTTCATATTAATAACATCATTGCTCTTGTGTCATCCTTTTTGAAGGAATCAAAAGATTTATTGAAGATGCTGATGACTTTGTCAGCCTGGTTTTTCTTCTATGGCTATTATCTATATATCTAAATTATCTTTAAACAATGTCAACTAGTTTAACTAAAAGAAGATACCCACACTGCAGTGGATGGATCCATGGAGAACATATATCACTTTTAGCATAAAAGAAAACTCCTTAAGCTGAGGAAAGAAGAAAATCAATTGTAGCAATGCTTATTTTTTTCCTTGTGGGGAAAAAAACCCCTCTTTTTTTCTTCCAGTACCCCCAATTATTGAGGGTATCAGTGAAACCATCCAAAACAAGCAAGTGGTTGTTGGAAGTTCACTTATATTGGAATGTAATGCAGCTGGCAATCCTCCTCCCCTCTTAACCTGGCTGAAGGATGGAGTTCCTGTAACAGCAAGTGACAACCTCCATGTTGTGTCTGGTGGAAAGAAGCTGGAGATCCTGAATGCTGTTGTGACTGACCAAGGCCAATACGTGTGTGTGGCTACCAGCATAGCTGGGGAACAGGAGATCAAATATAATGTGGAAATCCTAGGTGGGTAGAAACCATGGAATTAAGCATTGTATTTTATTTTAGAAGCTCTGGTAGTGCAGTGGTTAGAATGCAGTATTGCAAGCTTACTCTGCCCATTAACAGGAATTTGATCCTGACAGGGCTTGAAGTTGACTCAGCCTTCCATCTTCCAAGGACCCAGATTGTTAGGAACAATAGACGGACATTATAACCACCCAGAGAGTGTTGTAAAGCACTATGGGGTGGCATATAAGTCTAAGCACTATTGCTATTTGGTTTTCTTTGTGTTTTCAAAGAATGTGAAAGTTACATATTTATATAAGCAACAGCACTTAGACATATACACAGCTTCATAATGCTTTATAACCCCTATAAGCAGTTTACAGAGTCGGCATATTGCTCCCAACAATCTGGGTCCTTATTTTACTGATCTTGGAAGGATGGAAGGATCGGTCAATCTTGAGCCGGTGAGAATCAGACTGCTGGCAGTGAGCAGAATTAGCCTTTAATACTGCATTCTAACCACTGTACCACCATAGCTCTGCATTTCTGCATTTCTGCATTTCCAGTCCATATGACATTTGAGATGACAATTTCTTAGTGACTGATACTTCTGTTCCTTCTCTACATTTATCTAAAGCACCACTGGAATGCTGTTGCAAACTTTGTAGAAATATTGCAGTTGGTATTTTCAGTTCAAGTTAGTGCAAAATCTGTACATAACAAAAGTTAAAGGGTAATTTGTTTGGAATTTAGAAAAGGAATAAAATAAATATTATTAGGTGGTGATCTGATATTATCTTGAAATTGATTCAAATTTTACCTATAAATACGTTGATTATTATATAAAAAGAATAGTATTATACTGTTAGACTGACACAGTTGCAACATGAGTTTTGGATTTTTCCCTCCAGCTACAGTTACAATCTTGTAATATTTTTAAATTATCAGGAACATTTTTATTACGGAAGGTGTAATGGTATGTAGGGATGACCTTGAGTGACAAGGGGAAGAGTCACAGGCTAGTCAGTGGTCTGATAAATAAAATCTGAGTGTGAAGGAGGGATGCAGGTGGATAAAGCATCTCAGAAAATACCTTCCCTAGTTTTTAGGAGACTAAAAGTACTTTCAGACTTTCAAAATTTTGTTACCGTAAACTTGTAATAAAGGTAATGTTTTTATCCACCGTTGTTATTTCTTGCCTGGTCTACTGTACCTCCCAGAGGGGTGGAGGGGTGGAATCAACATTGATGTGAGCCACAACAAGGGAAACTGTGTTCTTGTTCTTAAGTGTTTGGCATGTTAACAAGCCTCCATGCCATTCTGTAATGCTTATAAAAAATGACCCCTGCAGATAATGAGAATTGGATGTAGGTGCTCTAAATCTGAATGCACAACTAGTTCAAAGAAACATTGTAACACACCAGAAAGAGCGAGGATAATAGAAGAGATATTTGAAGATTATTTTAAAACCTGTAAATATATTTTGAAAATATTTCTACCTAGGATTCACTTTCCCTCCCTCCTGCCTCCCCCCCCCTCTTCCTCCCAGTTCCACCAAGTTTGGAAGGAGGAAATGAATCTTCGGACCACATTGTGATTTTCCACAGCCACCTAGAGTTGGAATGTCCAGCAATAGGAACACCCCTGCCGATCATCACGTAAGAGATTATAACTCAATTAAAAAAAAAAGTTCACACAGGAAATTTGGATGAAAGTAAAGTTACCAAGAAACCACATGATATTTCATAAAATATTTTTAAAATAAAAAAATTGCTATAGGAGATTTAATTGTCACATGTAGAGTTACCTCCTGATGGGTAGTACTCATGGCTGGTGACATTTCATGGAAGGGCAAAGCAGCCCTGAGGAATCTATTATTTGTTTTCCTTAACCTGGGAAACAGGAGAACAATTTATTCCACAATGCTAATCTCCTAATCCCTTGAGAGACAATCAGTTATATATTGCCCAAGAAGGCTATTCTGTGATTGTCTGTTGTTTCTCTGCAAATACTATAGATTCTCAGTGCACAATTGTCTGCAGTCCCCTGGTAACTTCAGTAGTCTTAGCAATGCAGCTATATTCTGCTCTGTTTCAAAAGTAAAAAGAAGAAAAAAATTGGGCAACTGAAAGAGTTATCATCTAGAAGTGCCTTTAAGCCTTCCAGTTAATGTTGAATATTCAATTTTTGGTAGTTGCTCAGTTTTTGTTTCTCTGCCGCAATTATACAGTGTTACTATAGATGATGAAAATACTTTAGGTGTTATGCCTTTACTGTCTAATGAATTCTTTCTTTTTCTCCTTCCTGCTCTTCTTTAATGTCTAGAAAAGCATTAAGTGAAAGAGATTATTTTTGGAGAAGTAATGATATGAGTCCCTGGGTAAAATGGATTCAATGTATAGCATGCAGAATGAACTGCTCAACTTACTAGCAAAGACGAATGGAAGTTAATTTCCATAGACCTGGTCAGTTCAGGGGTTCAAACAGCTGCCACCCCATTTCCTTCTATACTACAAAGAGGTTGTATGGTCAAAAGATGAGCTAGTACTTTCCAATAAGATTTTATTGTAATATCTTTGCCTGGTTCAGATTTCTGTCTTTTCCCATTATCACTGCCAGCATATATCTTTTCAGAAAAAAAAATAGGTTAAAGTAAAATTATAGTAGGATGCCTTTTTAATGATAGTCCTAGGGGATATATGGCAGCACCCATGAATCAGTATCATTTAATAGATGACAGTCCAATCTCTTAATCGTGGAACTGTAACTGTAATCTTGACACCTGGAACTGTAAGCATTCCAATTTATGCCTCACAATCTCTTCTTTATACAAAATAAACATTTTAAAGATCTGTTTTTCTCCCATCAGATGGTTCAAAAATGGCCAACCTATTGAAGGAGGAGTTGGATATAAAATTTTGCTCAATGGACGCAGGCTTCTCATCTCTCGGGCTGAAGTATCTGATGCAGGCCATTATCAGTGTATAGCCACCAACAAGGCGGGCGAAAGCAAGAAAGAATTTGATGTGATTGTGCATGGTGTGTTATTTCTGTAGGAAAGGAAAAAAGGGGGAATGTTCGGGTTATACCTTTCTATGAAACAGTTTAAATATGTTATGGTTTGCTGAGGACATAGCAAAAGAATTTCAGGCTTTGAAATGGACTTAGAAGCTTTGTGTTATTTATGAAAAAAATCGGCTACAAGTTATTCAAGTATATGCTAATTGTTCTAGGCTACTTTAGTACACAAATATTAAACCATTCCTGCATTAATTTTATTAATCTTTTCATAAAACTTTTATTAGGTATTTGGATATTGAACAAAAATCAGATATCTTTCTAGTCTTTCCTTCTTGCTATTATTTCTTTCTGCCGCTGCTCCATGGATTTATCCAATATGCCATGTTTCTTAACTGTGGCAAGTTTAAGGCGTGAGATTTCCAGAATTCTCCAGCCATCTGACTGGGGAATTCTGGGAGATGAAATCCACACATCTGAAAGTAGCCAAAACTGAGAAACTCTGTACAATGCTCCATTGTCATAGCTGTCATTTTCCCCATCAGTATCATGCTGTTATGGGGCAGGGAAAGAATATGTTCTGGATGTGACAAAGGAAAATAAATACCCAGTTGCTATTTTTCAGTAATTGCTGCATATTTAGTGAATATTTTGTCTTGCATTATTGTTTGCAAATTAGAAAAAGATAGCTTTCACTGGTTCCTGTATAGATAGTTGGATAATTCATAATAATTCATTCAGAGAAATAAAGTGTATTGCATAAGCTTCTTGACTTACAAACTTATGAACATATGGAGAAGCCTCATTACTATCTTCTGCATAAAATTCTGTCTTGATTCTTTTGCACAGTCTCTCCAACAATCAAAATGAGTGGTCCTTCTGAAAGATTTGTGGTGATGCACAAACCAGTAACCCTGCAGTGTATTGTTAATGGCATACCAATCCCTTCTATCACATGGCTAAAAGATAATCAGCCTGTAAATACTGCTAGAGACAACATTGGAGTAAGTAAAAAAGACTGAAATCATTTCAGCGTTAAATAATATTGTAAAGGGAAACATTTGCCAGTGTTTATCTTTTGAGCAGATATTTGATTCGACATGATCAAAACTCTTCTGAAGTAGGGGTTTTTCCCTGTCTTTTTTCTAAAAACATAAAAAGAAAAACAGCCTTTCAGAATTCTTTGTGGCAAGACTCCAGTTGACTAATACATTTTCCCTCTCCTGACCAGTATATGCACCTCTTATAGGATCAGTTATAAATCTGTTTTATTCCAGCAAGCCTTTGGCTCCACTGGGTGGCTGGACGGACGGAGGGATGGGTCAATTGGCTGAGGGCATTCTTTCAGGAAGAGAGGCCAAGAGCAAGTATTTTATGCATGCATGCTTGTGAAGGAAATGACTTCAGACTGGCAGTCAGATTAATAGACAAAGAAGGCGCACAAAGGAAATCCTTAATCTTTATTTACATCCTACTACCCCTTGTGGCCAACAGGTCATGAGATGCTGTAGAGTCAGTGCTACTGGATTGTATATCCAACAACTGTACATGTAATTGCTATGAATGCCCATATAGTTTGAAAGGAGATACCAGTGTTTATTGTTTTTGCTTATATTATGATAGAAATCTCATTGGTTTGTTCATCATAATAGAGGAATCTTTCTTTTTGTTTTGTTCTGGAGCAGCTGGAATCTTTAGGGCGCATTTTGCAGATTGCCAAGACCTTAAAAGAAGATGCTGGCAAATATACCTGTACAGCAACAAATGCAGCTGGTGAAGCCCAGCAATCCATTTATCTGAATGTATATGGTAATGACTTCTCATTGGCAGTTTAGTATTGCCCATTGATTGCTAGTTATACCCATCATGCTGTGTGCCCAATTTCATGCTCCATTTTAGTATTCTGTAAGTATCCAGAGCAGGAAACTTATTTGGACATCAGATGCCATAGAATAATTTATCTGATAGTTGGGGGGTCTTCCCTCAATCAATTATAAAACAATGCCTTGAAATGTCTCAAGAGCATCAAAGATCAGAGAATTTTCAATGTTTCAAATACAACCCAATAAATTTTTTGAGATTTATTACATTTATTATTGATGTATATAATTTAAACCCTATCTTGACATTCAAAACTGTATAAACTGTATTTTATACGTATACACCCTTTCTGTAAAACCTGATAATTAGAAAGTTAAAGCCCTGTGAAGAGCAAGTCCAGTTAAGAACCCTAGCTCGAGGTTTTGATCTTAGAATTTAGGAGACCTGGTATAAGAAAGTAAACAAATTGCATCATGGTATTCAGGAACCTTTTTGGGAAAGACAGGTACCTGAAAACTTTTAAAGTGCCAAGGATGTAAAGAATCAGTATATTGATTGTTCAAGAAGTTATGATTAAAAGTATAAGATGTAAATAAATTGGTTAGTATATAGTTTTTGATTCTTTAGTATTGCTAATATTCCATGAAGTCAGTTGTTATTGGGTAATCCACTGAAGTAGAATGTGCTAATCTTAAGTAGAAGATAATTTTATTTATTTATATTTTATTTTTCTAGATCACTCATATCTTTCAATTTTACTTTTAAACATTTGTCAACTAAGCCTTAGTAAGTTCTACCAGTTACTTAGCAATATCTACTTTTGTTTAGACTTGAACAAATCATGCCAGGAATCTTGTCTCTCAGCTCAGCAATTCCCAAATCCAATAAATAAAGTCAAAGTTGAGTTTTGCCATCCATCAGAGTGTTCTGATTCTGAAGTACATTGGGAGATATAAGGTACCACAATTTTAGAAAGATCCTGGATAAGAAAGGAGAAATCACTGCATTATTATAGCTACTCTGTAATTAGAAACATATTGCTTTATCTGTAGGTCATATCTAGGCTATTTTTTGAGTCATACTAATCATTTACTGTAGATTGTATGAACATACATCTATGTTGGAAACTTGTAAACTAAGTACAGAGAAAGCCTGGGTACAATACGTCTAAATAAAAGTAACCATAATTTTCTCCTCTTTTTTTCCAGAGCCGCCTAGTCTGAAGGATGCAGGAATGGTAAGAAATGAGACTGTAATTGTGAACAATCCAATACAACTAGAATGCAAAGTGTCTGGAAATCCTTTGCCAGGTATATATATACTCATAGCAATTTATCTTCTCTAATAATGAAAATCGGCCATGCAGAAATTTTCCACCTATTGTCTTTTCACTGAATTCCATATAGAGTAGCACACCTCTTTCTTACAAAGGATCTTAAGTTTGATGTTTCATTGAACTGTTGTGAATATGCATGTTTTTCTTGTTAAGTAAACGTGCTAAGTTTGTTTGGAATATAGTTTGTTGTAGGTTTAACAATGATTTTAAAAATCCATATGTTTTATAGACAAAAGCCTTTTTGCAAAGGAAGCTGAAACATGTGAAAGAGCATGTTAACTGAAAGAAGCTGATTAGGAGAAAAACCTGGTGTCAGGATTCCGACACTTAACCCCATTTAAATCATGAGTTAACACCTGGGCTCTCTTGAGATGTATTACCGACTGGCATGTTGCCCTCATGCATTCATGCAGAAACTACCTTAATTTATTGCTTAAGACTGGGACTTAGTTTAATTCTATGGCAAGGAAACTTTCAAAATAGAATCATTACTCAGTATGTGGTATGACCTAGTCTTTTTTTTTACTGTGTGCAATCTAATGAAGAAGTTCAGGAATGAGCCTGAAAGAAGGATATTGGTTGTGCTGATTGACTTTGATACTGCTTTGGAGAAAGCAGTAACAAAGATGAATATCTAATATTTCAATTTGTGAACTAAATCCATTAATACAGCTAGAGAATTCTATTGTCTGTGGGATTTGATCTGTAATGACTTATCTTCACATGCAAGTTATTATTTCATGCTAAAAAAAGCTTGTGTGCTCCCTTTAAATATGTCTTCAACTCCACACCTTTCCTGTGACAGAGGAGGGAAAACTGTATTTCACCTGAAATTTAGAATAAAATAGAATAGAATACTTTATTGGCCAAGTGTGATTGAACACACAAGGAATTTGTCTTGGTGTAAATACTCTCAGTACACATAAAGAAAAGGTACATTCGTTAAGAATCAAGAATCATAAAGTACAACACTTAATGATAGTCATAGGGTACAATCAACAATCAAATCATACTAGGAAACAGTCAATATAAATCATAAGGATACAAGCAACAATGTTACAATCACAAGTGGGAGGGGATTGGGTGATAAGGAGTGATGAGAAGATTAACAGAAATAGTACTGTACACTTTGTAAATAGTTGAACAGTGTTGAGGGAATTATTTATTTAGCAGAGTGAAAACTGTTCTTGTGTCTAGTTGTTCTGATGTGCAGTGCTCTATAGCGTCGTTTTGAGGGTAGGAGTTGAAACAGTTTATGTCTGGGATGTGAGGGGTCTGTAAATATTTTCACAGCCCTCTTTTTGACTCGTGCAGTATACAAGTCCTTGATTGAAGTCAGGTGGGTAGTAATTGTTTTTTCTGCAGTCCTAATTATCCTCTGAAGTCTGTGTCTGTCCTGTTGGGTTTCAGAACCAAACCAGACAGTTATGGAGGTGCAGATATCCTCTGTAGAACTGGATCAGCAGCTCCTTGGGCAGTTTGAGCTTTCTGAGTTGGCGCACAAAGAACATTCTTTGTTGTGCTTTTTTGATGATGTTTTTGATGTTAGGTGTCTTGAAACAACCTTGAGTGATATGGTAGCAGCTTATGTGGGCGGTCCTATAAATATGACTCCACAATATCCAAATGAAATAAGAAGGTACTGAAGAAGAGAGCAAGAATAGGTGGACCATGAAGAATGCTTTAATAGGCCATTTTGTAGGTAATTAGTATGTACCCTGAAACTGTTTGCAACTTGAGAGTGAAAAAGAATTCCTCTTTAATTTTGTCTTCCTCACCGTGCCCACATTTGGAGTGGAGTAAGCAAAAAATACCTTTTAATCCCCCACTTTTCCTAATATTCCTCCTGCTCTAAATTATGAAGTTTCTGTACTTTATCTGGGCATCTGTCAACAATGTAAGTGGTCTTGGAATAAAAAGTACTGTAACTTGAATGTTTCCTTCCAATAAATTCTTTTATAGTACCAAATATCTCTTATTTTATTTCACAGTTGTCACATGGTACAAAGATAACCTTCCTCTCATCAATATTGCTGGCATCACTTTCTTGAACAGAGGGCAAATTGTCCAAATAGATGCAGCCCAGATCTCTGATACTGGGATTTATAAATGTGCGGTGACAAATGCAGCAGGAGTAGCTGAATTATTCTACAATCTTCAGGTCCATGGTAAATCCTGCTTCTCATAACAAAGTCAGTTTGGGCAGATAAGATTTATCTGACTTTCAACTGTATATTTCAGGTTTATTGCATGTACTTAGTACTTTTTAAGGTCACGTTTCCATACTGATTTGAGTGGAGAGTGGTTGTTTGCAGTATTTGAATAATTCAACAATGGGAAAGCTTTTAATTTTGAAGTATTTGCTTGATGGGGCTCTCATGCAATTAGATTTGGAAGGCAGGTCTCACTATCTCTATTTCAGCAAACTGACAGAAGTATTTAAGTGTTGCTATTGTAGAAATCACAAAGTCCACAATAATTTCAGACCAACTCACAGAACCAGGTTTTAAGAAAATGGTGTAAATCTAAACCACAACATTTTTAGATTCCAATCATTTTCTTTTAAATTTGGCTCTGTGACTGGATATGGCTTATCAATTACAGACTTGACCAGATCAAATCTTTTGTCAGGCAGAACAAGAAACTCTTCAAATTTATGTTGTACCTCCCAGTTTTGTTGACCAAAGCTGATTCCTCTGTATATGATTGGGATGGGGACAATAATGTTATTGTCAATGTTGACTTGCAAAGCACTTCTTTCCTCTCGCAACTTGACAAAGAAGCTAGAGGAGGTGGGCATGGGTATGATTGGAATGTGTGGGAATCAATCTGGGAGGAAGAAAATAAATTTATGTGAGCCATTGGCAGCTTGAGAAGATCTTGCATCTCTGAAATCAGACATTGAAGACTTTTGAAAGGTGCAGGCTGTTTTCCCAAAATAAAATGTTTGACCTGGGTTAGTGGACAGTGAACACAAGGTGGCCCAGGGGAAGGAAAGGGGCATTTTACTATGCTGCACTTCACACCAAAATCTTAGAACTAGCTTTGCTTCTTCTTTGCCTGCATGGATCTGTCAATAAAGTTTTACTCTTGGTAACAAAAATGTCCCCGAAGTTTCTTTTGCATGCTAAAGGGATGGTTGACAGCTATACATTAACTTCTGTTTTTTTCTCTTACGATCAAAACTCAATTCCTCTCATGTTTATTGCTTTATGGTACAAAAATATTTATTACTGCTAGCACTACAATGTAATTGATGTAGACAAAGATCTGCAAAGATCCAAATATACATCTACTGTATGTTTGCAGGCAATATTATTTGCAAAATTATAGATCAGAACTATCAATCAGCACATCTGCTCAAACAATATTTCTCTCTCTTTTTTCTCTTTTTTATAGTCCCACCTTTGATTTCCGGAAATAATGAAATTGTAACTGTTGTAGTTAATGATCAGGTGAGGTTGGAGTGTGAAGCTCGTGGAATTCCTGCTCCTATTGTAACCTGGTTGAAGGATGGCAGTCCTGTTTCTAGTGTTTCAAGTGGACTCCAGGTAATTTCTTAGCTCCATTAAAGCGTGAAAGACATTTACCCACAATTTAGAGATGGGATTTCTCCATGGAATCTGTCTCTTTAAATTTTGGATAATAAATTATATTAATTAAATAATTAAATTATATTAATTAATACTTCAAATTCACCTATAACTTTTGGGTTATAGTGGAAACAATTTTAAAATTGTGGGAACAATTTTATCTGTGTTAATTCATAAATAAAAATCCAAAATCTAAGCCCAGAGTTACCTTGAAGTACTGTAATAGGGGCAGCCTATAAATGTTATAAATAAATTAAAAAAATCCATATTTTGATTAGGATCAATAACAAAACCAGCAATAGAATTATTGCTAGAATTAAAATTAGAATTCTCTAGAATTATTCATTAGGCAAGACATTAAAAAAATAATGGAACAGAGCAGAAACAAGAAAAATGTAAGGAGTGAAAATAATGTTAGAGATTTCTTGGGTGATACAAAAACATTTCATATCAGAAAAATTGTATTATGTGAATAAGTTAATACTCTAATGCTGTCTGATTCAACCTATCTGCCATTTTTTAAAAAAGCAATTCCACTCTCTTTTTAGATTCGTTCTGGAGGTCGTATCCTGGCACTGATGAGTGCTCAGATTAGTGATACTGGAAGGTTCACATGTGTAGCAGTAAATGCAGCAGGAGAAAAACAAAGGGATATTGATCTCAGAGTTTATGGTAAGAATATAAATAATGTTTATACCAAGAACTGCATTAGCATTCTTGAGATCTTGAGGGATTACAATGGCTTTCCCCAACAAGCTGTCTTGGAATTTTGTGGAACTGTTGTCCTAACGTATCTTGATGGCCCCTGGGTGTAATGCTTGATTAGATTTCTAAAATGACCCATGGCATTTTTATTATACTACAGATTATAGATTGATCTTCTCACTTCCTTTCAATCTGGAAGTGATATCCTGTGTTTATTTTAATAGAATGGTCTTTATAGGTTTCATAGGAATCTAACATGCCCTGTCATGGGAAGTCATTTTCAAATGAAAACTACATTTCTTTGGGACAACTAGATAATAATTTAGATGTTAATCATTTTCTTCAATTACTGAAAAATTTCACTTAAAAACTATGTAAGAGCAACAAATCTTTAGATGTTTGCTTAAAATGATGATGAGGATTCGCATATTGTCTTGAGACATGTTAACAGAACCTTTATAGTACATGCCTGATTTCTTTAAAAAACCCTATGAAACTACAACTACAATGCATGAAAAATAAAGATTTACAAACAATGGTATAGCTAGATTAATCAGAGAACTCTAATTGGCTGCAGTATTCTGTTAATGCATGCATGGTTGTAAAAATAGTGGCATGCAATACATGAAATTTGAAATACTCTGTTTTGAATTTGAGACAGTGTTCCAACTTTACAAGTGTTCTAATGCTACTCCAGCTATTCTGGAACTGTTCCAAATTCCAAACAACCAGGGACATTTCGATTTTGGAATACTTCCAGAATGATTGGAACAATGCTAAAATCTTTTCAATAAGTTTAGAACAAGCCATTGCATCTTAAAACAACACACAAGAGCTCAGAATGGGGCTCAAAAGTCTAAATGTTTTGCATTTGAAATATTTTACACTCTTATAATTGTAAACACATTCTAAGATCTACAGAATGCCCCCTTCATAACTCTAAACTAATTTTAATTTAGGGCTGATAATATCAGGTTACAGTACAACTAAAAAGCACAAAAGTCCTAAGTATTTTAAAAAGTCTTTTAAAGAGCAGGAATGATAACTGACCTTTGAAAATGCTGTTAGGATGAAATTAATGTATTAAGTAATATTTATTTATTTATTTATTTGATTTAATTTGTCAATCGCTTACAAGATACCGGTATAAGAATAAACATAGTTTTGAATACATGAGATGGATATTTATAAGAAAAATAAAAAGAAACAATAGGACAGGGATGGTAGGCATGATTGATGTGCTTATGCACGCCCCCTATGTATGTATGTATGTATGTATGTATGTATGTATGTATGTATATATATATATATATTTGTTTTCTTAAGTTTTCGTGGGTACTTACATGTATGGTATTCAGCTTTGTTCGGGTATTTTCCCACGTCATTGTAGTTGTGCTTTTAAAGTTGTAGCAACGTTTCGGCAGAATCTCATCTGCCATCATCAGGCTTCTGAACAAAGCTGAATACTATATATGTATATGTATATGTATATGTATATGTATATGTATATGTATATGTATATGTATATATACATATATGTATATCTATATCTATATCTATATCTATATCTATATCTATCTATCTATCTATCTATCTATCTATCTATCTATCTATCTATCTATCTATCTGATGAAGATTTGAGTACAAAATGGAAATTGATAAGGGATCATTTCTGTATATGTTGAATTTATACTATTTTACAAATATTTTTATGGAAAATTCATATTGGTTTGCTGAATTATGCTCCTCTTTACAAATGAAATGCCTTTCTGTTGGGACAGTGATTCTATCATGGATGGAAAACACTTGAAGCAGATCATTTAGTTCTTCTGAATTTACTCTGGAGCATTCCATGTATGTTGGGTAGTTTCATATACTGTCCTGGTAATGCTAATATTTTTGAGAAAGGTTAACTGATACATTTAACGCTGATATCAGACAGTGACAGCTTTATTTAAAGTGGGTGGCTTCATTCACCTTAGTGAAAAGAGATGAAACTAATTACTAAAGTGATGTTTTTTCAGTTCCACCTAATATTATGGGAGAGGAACAGAATGTCTCTGTGGCCATGGGGGAGCATTTGGAACTCCGCTGCCGAAGTGATGCTATCCCTCCACCTACGCTTCAGTGGCTGAAGGATGGTCAGCTCCTGCAGAAGAAGCTGGGTCTCACCATTACTGAAGATCGGAGTGTACTGAAGGTAAATATTAGAGTGACTCAGATTTCCTCCTCATGTTTAGGGTTCCTGACATTAATAGCTTAAAGACTATCCCCTTGCATTTCTGAATGACATTGAAAAAACTTTTTTCTTCTGATGGAGGAAAGAAAAGCTGTGCCGCTTTTGAAGTATTCTCCCAAAAGCTATTGAGTTACTTATCCAAAAGCATATCCAGCATTGGTGAAGAGGTCCTGCTTGAACATTGCAGGATAGTTAGGGTTTATATTGTGGGCAATGAGTACTAATGATTAGGGATTAAAAAGAACTCTGGCATAGATCTTGCTGGGAAACAAATTTGGACGAGGGACAAATGTGAGCAGGAACAAAATCTGACTAGTGTTGGTATTTCCCCAAGTGGAGGGGGCGGGAGAAGAAATCTTGGGGTAGAGAAGGTGGTTTTGTACTTGATTTTCTAAAAGATATAACAAGACTGGGGTAACTTTACAAGTTTTAATTGCTGTGCTCTTGTAGGAGGGCTGCAACTGGGAATACAGTTTTGGCCCAAGTGAATAGAAATTTAATGGGCCAGAATATGCAACACCCAAAAATGTTCCCATCTTTGTACTAAGGCATTCAGTATTAAAGAAGATATCTTAGAACCTGTCAAGTAGAAAAATCACACTTGAAATAAATCTTTCTCCCACAGGGAATGACTTCCTTTACCGAAATCAAAATAATGTACCGGATCAACAAGTAATAATACACAGTGATGAGTACCAAAGCTATTGCCAAAAATAAGTTTGTCGATTTGTTTCTTGCTAGATTGAACAAGCACAGGTGCAAGACACTGGACGCTATACTTGTGAAGCAACAAACATTGCTGGGAAAATGAAAAAAAACTACAACGTCAATGTATGGGGTAAGTATAAGATTAAAGCATCTGTAATCCTAGAAATGTATGTCACTATTGATTTGCCTGTGAAAATCATATGGGAGTGATTGTTAAGAAATATATTCTTTTTTTGGCCCTGGAATCAGAAGCTGTGTTGGACATTTAAAAAAGCTGTCTACCTGATTTAATGTCACTCTGTTCCTCAGAGTACCTAGAATTCAAAAAAAAAAAAAAAAAACTGGAAATATTCAGCAGTCATGAGGGCTTTATTTTTGGGGCAAATTCTAGTGATCTTACTAATTCAGTGAGAAAAAAAATGAAATAAGAGTTGGAAATAATATCATGCACTATAAAAAATTCAACAGTTAAAATGTAGGGATCTCTTAGGTATTTAAAACACCTAATTTGCAGACTGTCAAAATATTTTAAATAAACTAAGAAATGCATTTGCATTCTGTTGTTTAACCTATGAGAATATTAATGCTTGAAACAAAGATTTGCGTTGAGAATTTTACTTACATTTTCTTCTTTCTCTGCTGATCTTGATACATTTAATTTCTTTATAGGTTGTATTAACCTGTAGGAAGTGATTATTTGTTTCTGATATTTGTCTTCTCTAGTGCCATCAAGTATTTACAGCTCAGACACAGTGACTCAGCTGACCGTGATTGAAGGGAACCTCATCAGCATGATGTGTGAATCCAGTGGAATTCCACCACCCATTCTTGCTTGGAGGAAGAATGGTAAGCAGCTGGACTTTGTGAGGACTAATCACAAACCCTGTTACTCCTGTTAGTTTTGTGTTGAGCCCTGTGTGTTAGTTTTGTGTTTATCTCAGTAGGTTACAGAATAGAACCTAAATTAACCATTCTGCTAGATTTCTAGAAATCAATATAATTGGGTTGATCAGCAGTACCTACTGCTGATTTCAACATTTTATTCTGAATCTTTTGTTTCAGTAGAAAGGCTTTCAAATACTCTAGATTCTCTTTGATTTAAGCTTACTGTGGCAATGGCTTGAAATGCTTAGATCAGGGATCCCCAATCCCTGTGGATTGGTACCAGGCCGTGGCATGCCAGCAACCGTACTGCACAAACAAGCGGAACCCTTCCATGGGATGCAGGCAACATTACAAAACCACACAGTCCACAGAAAAATCTTTCTCCGCAGAACAGGTCCCTGATGCCCAAAAGGTTAGATGGAGGGTATTACTGGCTTAGATGAAGAAATGTGATGAGATAAAGTGTTTAAACCATATTTACCCCAAACTGCTTTCTGCTTCCATCTAATTTTCCCCTTCCTTCTTATGCCTTATTTGATTTAACCAGAATGCAAATTAGTGTTTCCTTGCCTGTGTGAATTCCCAATTTGCATTGTGGTTAGTCATTCTGGGATTAGCAGTCCCAATACATCTGGAAAATTCCAGGTTACAGAAATTAGAGGTTACATACTAATATTTACGAATATTAAATGCATTGAGAAAAGATGCTTTCTGCACATAGTTGTAAATTAATGATTTTTCTGAAGCATTAAAGCAGCTGCATCTTTTACAAGGGCTTTTGCTGCTCTCTTCATATACACACGCACACGTGTTTCCCTTTGCTGACAGAAATGCTGTTTGTGCAAGCACACGCACCTGGAGACAACCAGAGAAACCAGATGTTCCTTGCAAAAAAAAAAAAAGATGCCATGATTCAGGCAGAATTTATAGAATGTATCACCTTGAATTTGTGCCAATCTCTCATTGTCCAAAGTGTAATGGAAGTAACATTTGATGCTTATGGGACTTTGTTGCATTTTAGGTTACCTAGCCAACAGGAAATATGTCTGGAATAGAATGAATACATTAAAAAATTCCAGTGTGAATGGGTCCCTTGCATTTGCCTGCAGCCAAATTGTTCTTCCCTTTCCCCATGTAGTAAATATGCAACAAAGCTGTGATTAATCATATGGTGCATATGCACAGTCCACTGGTTTATCTATTAAGTTTAGCCATGGGTAAGAGTTAATCAAAGAAACTGCTATTTGCTGAGCCCCATCTTCCTTGACCATTGTACCAGTAGGACTTGGCAGCTACTAGTTTCCCCTACATAAAAACTTAATAGAAACACATGACAGCCCAAAACAAGTTGAAGATTTGTATGGAAGAAAGGAGACTAATTATTATCTTAGTTATTTTTTACCTTAAGGAAACCTCTGGATGTCTTATGAGGGAACCAGGGCAAGATGAAGAGATTCTATTGTGAGAATAATTGCTTGCCAAAATACCACCTATCTCTGTTTATAGAACAGAGAGAAAAGTTAATTTATTTAATTCTCTATTCAGAGGGCACAATAGCCTTTACTGACATAAATAATATTTCTAGAGCAACCTGTTGAGATTGTGGAATAGACACAGCACCTTAAGTACAGTGTTGGACTGGTTCAGGTGAGATGCCAAACTTAACCTAGTTTTAACATAGTTTAGTGTGTCATTGTATCAAACTAGGAAATGATGGTTTGCTTTAGTTTACATTGGTTTGAGATGTTTTAATAGGAAATGGTACATAAATGTTATAAAAACAATGAAGTTACAGCTGATTTTCATAGATAGACTAATAATTGTCATTAATCCAATTTCCCAGTTCAGACATAATAGGAAGCTGTGATTAAGTGTGCCTTTTATTGCCTTTCAACTGTGCAAAGAGAGGAACACAATAACTGTTTGTGCATGAAGTTGAAGTTAATTCATGCCTTGGGTTATTCAACTAAGTTGATTATCCACATAATGCATAACCTGGTTTCAAAGACTCTGAAGAATGTGTACATATATTTTATATTTAATTTTTTTTTATCTGAGAGTGTTTCTTTTGTAGGTTCTCCACTGCTAGTTGACCCTTCAGGGAGAGTCAGAATCTTATCTGGAGGAAGACAACTGCAAATTTCTATTGCTGAAAATTCAGATTCAGCCTCCTATACATGCATAGCTTCAAATGTAGCTGGAACAACAAAAAAAGAATATAAGTTGTTAGTGTATGGTAAGTCGTGGGCAATGTTTCTCAGTTTGGAAACAAATACTATATAAAACCTTCGCAAATGAGCTTTGGAACAAACAAAATGTGTCACAGAAAAGCAATAATGGGATCTCTCATTTTCTTCTAATGGCAGTTGAAGGGATTTCTAAAAGCCTTTTCTTGATACTCTGAACCCAGTATTAGTTTTGAGAGGGGACTATGCAGGCACAGTGCAAGTACACATATATTTTTGGCATTGCTTTTAACAGAAATATAGAAAGTAGATTTGCACTACTTGTAATGCTTATGTCCCCAATAGAGATGTTCCTCTTGGTGACGGCATCTTACTACCCTGTTGGCCTTCTAAAGCTAAGCTGGCTAGGAACCAATTAAATCTCAGAAGAACAGCCACCATTAACTTTCAGGAGAGTAAACCAGACTGGTAATTTGAAAAAAGAAAGTCTCAGAAGTAGAACAGGAAGATGACTGTGGCAACTACTATATCATTGCTGAGGACCTATGGGTAGTTACCAGGGCATGAGTTTGATTTGAGTTAACCTTACTGTTAAAATACAAATCCACCCTCCACCCCACTTCTAAAGAGCTGGATTTTTTCAAAAGCGTTTTGCCGGTTTCAGGTGTGGCTCCAGAATCCAGGTATTTGCCTCAATAAGCTTTACATGTTTATTCAGCTGAATAAAGACAGGCCCCTCAAGGCAAGAAGGAATCCTGAACATACTTTGACATTCATATTTATATGTTTGCTACATTGTCTACTTCACTCAAAAGGACTGGCACACTCTAGGTAACAAAATACAGTAGTTATTTACCTCTCTTGGAGGTTTTCCAAGGACATTGGGTTGTACCTCAGGGACTTTGGGTATTTCTAGAGGAACTTTCCATGACCTTGAAGGCCTGCTGAAGCAATGGTGCCATCTGCACATATGCTCCCTCAAGACTGTCAGTAGAATTATTAGATTCTTGGTGAACAAAAGTATATGTAGTCAGGAATTCTGTTCACTTAATGCTGTGTCCATTGAAGTTTGGGGCTAAAGTGTTGAACCTGAAATGTTTCTTTGAACAGTTCATCCAACTATTCTGGACAATGGAAATATACAATCGGATGTCATTGTAACTCAAGGGAATGATATTTCACTTGAATGCCAAGCAGATGGCATACCACAGCCAACTGTCACCTGGATGAAAGATGGTCAACTGTTAGCCAATGAAAGACGAGTTGAAATACTAAAGGAGGGGCATGGTCTTCGACTTAAAAGTGCACAGGTGTCGGACACTGGTCGCTATGTATGCATTGCTGTGAATGTGGCAGGACTGACCGACAAGAAATATGACTTAAGTGTTCATGGTAAGTAAAGGAAATCTGTGTAAGAGAAAATACACAAAGGGGCACACCCAGAGTAAGAAAGCAGTGGACTGTTCTGCTAGCCATGGAATAGCTGTATAATTTGATTTAGTTGAAGTAGGACAAAAGCTAGGGATTAATATGCAGTTATATATGTACTATGGAGACAACAGAAAGGAAAAAAGTATAACTTTATTTATTTATTATGCCACCCATCTCAATGTTCAAGACACCCAATTCTGGGTGGCTTACAATACATAGTTACTAAAGCAAAATGTAAGAGAAAATACTTTACTATCTTCCCAAGGTGTATTTTACTTTTTACTTTCGTTGTGTTTGTCCTTGAGTCATATCATTTTCTTGATACATTTCAAAAGAAAGTGTTTTAATCTAATTCAGAAATCTTGCCTAAAACCTAGCAAAGATACAGGGTTTTGTGAAATATTGAATGTAAATTTTCATAAGCTCCCAAGAAAGTAGTTGGATCATTTTGTTGATTAAAAACAAAAGCAAAAGCAATGAATCAACCCAATAAGTAATTCCATAACATTGGAGAAGCTTATACGGTGTATAGATAACATAATATTCTGTTACCTATGCTAGGCATTCTGAAGTATTGCAGAACAATTTATTTTGCCTCTTGCTTTATGAGAATGATTGAAGGAGCAGATAAAATTAATACTAATACAGAAAAGAGCTGCAATTCTGCACATAGGTTTCAATTTTCATCAGATAAGCAACTGTGTGCAGAATTATAATAGTCTTTAATTAAATAATTCAACTTATTGTAGCACAAGAGATAGAAAGTGTATTTTTTCCAAATAACAAAAAAAAAAAGTTTTTCTCAACCCCAACTAGTAATTTATTCAGAGTTTGACTTAGGGATGCTTAATTATTTCAACAGCAAAAACACACTTGATGTTTATATTGCAACTTTGTGAAGACATTTAAGAGATCTCTACAGCAAGAGCTTAGAAGGAGTTTAGTCCACTAAATTCCAATTTCTTTGTGTCAAAGAGGCCGCATTACCACTAAAAAGAGAAATTATAGTTATCTTTTAAATCATAAAGAGGGAGGGAGAACATTTTAATAGAAGCAAAGAACCTCAGTATTGCATATGATTGTTTTTAAATTCTTTTAAATAAATATAGCTGACCTTCCTTCATCATTGAATGATGAAGTTTAATCTTTCCTGCTACTCTTTTTTGGTAGTCCCCCCAAGAATTATGGGTAATCTGGTGCAACCAGAAAATATAAGTGCTGTGGAGAAAAGCCCTGTCACCCTGATTTGTGAATCTTCTGGAATTCCCCAGCCATCAATAATGTGGTTGAAGAATGGGCAGCCAGTCACTTTAAGTAACTCTGTGAGAATCCTATCAGGTAAGAGGGAGCATAAAAATATGTTATTTTTTAATATTAAACATAGAAAATGTTATATAGTATACTTGATTAAAACAAACACATGGAAAGGCTCTGTTAAACCTAACATATGGCTTTTCCACCCATCTCAAGATCAAATATTTAGGATCTCATATGTGATATCAGATACAGTTAGTTAAAAGAAGTAATTACTCTGCATGTAAAATGTTACTCTCTTAAGCTGTTCAAGCATGATTTATATATTTTCTTGTGGCAGAGAATTATTTCGCTGTTGTTGTGGAGAGCATTAGAACATGATGCTGAGAACTATTTAAATCTTAGATCATAGTTTAACTTGGTTACTATTTTGTAAATGATTGTCTCTTAGTCATATCTCAATTCTACAGTTTTCCAAATTATTGAGAGGTTAAAAGAAAAACATTTTTGGATAATGGGCATTTACTGCAAATTTTATTTAATTTTCAGTGACCTATTGCCAATACTAAATGACCTGATTTTGGAAAAATGCTCAGTTGGATCAGGCTTGGTTAATACCACACCAGGGTTGCAGATTTGATTTGGGGAGATTGAAAAACAAAACAAAACAATAAACCAGCAACCCAGAATAAGGCAATATCTAATCACTCTGGTCCAGAAATCCTCATTCTGTACTTGTGGACTGAAGGCAGTCTTTTTACCAAAATGCATAACCTGGTCATCATAGGGTCTGGAGTTTTGTCTTAAAAGGCAAAATATTTCATGTCTGGCCCATAAAGGTAATACATTTATACATTGTTAATGTATACTCTCCCTCAGGGGTGGGATTCTACAGGTTCGCACCTATTCACTAGAACCTGTTGTTAACATTCTAAGCAGTTCGGAGAACTGGTTGTTAGAAGAAATTACTGGCCTAATCCTGAAAGAAAGGCAGGAAGGAAACATTCTGGTGTTGTTTACAGAAACTGCCTCTCCATTAACCCTTATTACATTCTTGGCAGGACTAGACTTCCTGTCTCAGGAACGTCTCTGGAGTTTTCCCCCCCTCCTTTGCTGGCACTTTGCTTGTGTGGAGTAACCATTCAAAGTTACAATGGCACTGAAAAAAGTGACTTATGACCATTTTTCACACTTATGACTGTTGTAGCATCCCCACAGTCATGAGAGGCCAGGCGAGGAGATGCGTGCCTCGATGTGAGTGATGTTGAGTTGGCCACACCCAGCCAATAACATGACCACCAAGCCATGTGCACCCAGTCACATGACCACCAAGCCACGCCCACCACCTAAGCCATGCCCACAGAACCGGTTGTTACAAATTTTGAATCCCACCCCTGCTCTTCCTCCCTAAATAGAAATGACTAAGAAAATCAAATGCAAGCAGTCAAAAATTATATGAATAAACAGATTTATTCCAGGACAAATCTCTGATGGAACTAGGCTTAAATGCAGAAATGATCCCAAACCAGAAAATAGTTTTCATTCAGCAAAACCATATTAACCTGGTACAACATATTTCAGCAGCATGCTCAGGAAGGAAATACTGGCTTATGATTGTTACGATTTTGGAAGTTTCTTGAGGACTGGAAGCATGACTTTTTCTTTAAGGAGGCTGGTCCCATGCCTTCTCTTAAGAAGGTGATGATATCTTTAATGCAACCGTCTTGCTCACAAAGCAGAACTTCATTTAATAATGTTGATTCAGATAGTGTTCTGGATACTTTCATGAATTGATTTACATCAAGCAGAGTCAAAAAATCTCAAAAAATAAAAGCCTACACTAATACAAAAGGAATTTTCTTTTAAAACATATATAATTATCATAAATCCTCTTTTGGGTAAGCAATGTTATATAAAGCAAAAATTAGCCAAAATACCTCCTTCCCAAAAACTCCCCAAAACAGTGAGATTAGCAAAGAAATTAAAAATAGAAGACAAAAAGAAAAAAACTCTGACTAGATTTAATCTACCATGTTTCCATGTATTTCTGTCCTTGCAAACCAACTTTGTTTCTACCATAGTTCAGTTACTTTCCAGAAGATGGAAGGATGGCACAACGAACCACTGTAGCACTGAACCACTGCTTTTTTTTTTAATTTAAAGAGGGTTTTGGGGGGGAAAAAGGTTATTTGGCATATTTCCCATAATGATAATGAAGAAACATGCTTCCTCAGTAGAACGATCATCATAATAAGTTCCAATAGTAAACTCCTAGTAATGTCTTGGTATTCACTTTTAGCTTTCATACATATGTATTGGAGATGTTGCTGAATAGCCTTGAGCTGAAGCAAATACTAAGAGTGAAGTGGGTTTTCCAAAGCAAAATTATCATTGTCACTCAGACAACTGTATATTCCACAGAGGACTGAGATTTCAGTAGGCTGCCAGTTATTTTGAACTTTCATTTTGTTCTGGTTCTATATTAACAACTCAAAATCGAGAATTAGGTTTTATTATAATAAGAAGCTTTATGGCTTTTCTGTTTAGGTGGCAGGATGTTACGTTTGATGCAGGTGAAAATAGAAGATGCTGGTCATTATATCTGTGTAGTAACTAACATTGCAGGAGAAGTCAGGAAAAACTTTGAACTTTCAGTTTTAGGTGAGTATGTCAAACCTATCTTTAAAAAGCCAAAGTGTCAGATTTTTCTTCCTAGTTTATAGTCCCTGTGTTTAGAAATTGAAGAGATGACTGAAAAAATAATATAGGCAATGAGTAGCTTTCTTAATTGGTTAGTATAAGTTGGCAGTTGTTCCAGTGTAAAACAGAAAGATGCTTTATGCGTCTTGTAAAATAATATCAAAAACAGGAGAATGTAGTTGTGTTTTTTCCTTCCTTCTTCCCTGCAAGTTCTTCAAATTTTAATAACCATTCTTTAAAAGAAAACACCCTAGTGCTCCACACAATGTTATTTGATAATATAATGGACATAATATTGTAATTCCACTGAATCTTATACAGTCCAAGTATGCCAGGATAAATCTGGAAAATAGTAAAATTTAGTTTCCATAGAAGCAGCCATGTTATTCTAGTAGAAAAAAGAAAGAAAAAGACATAGTCTTGCCATATCTTAGATCAACTAAGAATATATAAGTGCCTTGGTTTAAATAATTACTTTTGTGACTTTTTCAAAAGAAGAAGCAACACTATTCATTCTAGGGACCAAGACAATAAGGGAAAACATATGTAAATTATGTTCCTTCATTTTATCTGAAACCATTTGAAAAAGTCTTATCTGAATTCAGCCTCATATTTTAAATGAATGTGCTTCAGATTTCATATACTTTTATCAAAGTTATGACATTTTTCACAGGGCCACCACAACACAACATTCATACAAATATATATTGAAGACATGTCTCCTGAAAATGGAACAACATATTTTGTGATGACTAATGCAAATAAAAATACAATCTTTTTGTATTCCTGTATTCTTGCATAATTATTTTCTTTCTTTCTTTGTTTTGACAATGTAAAAGTATCCCCAAGCATTGTAGGAGAAAATAAACTGGATGATGTAAAAGTAAAAGAAGGACATGGCATTACACTGACATGTGAAGTCACAGGTAAGCTTCTGGTGATTCTTGGTTAGAGCTGGTTTGGCTGCAACAATCAATGGCTATGGTATTAAGCAAGTAAACATTCATTCTCTCTCTCTCTCTCTTCTTGGATGATGCTACTACAGGTAGTTCTCAATTTATGTCCATTCATTGAAATAAAAAGTTATGACAGCACTGAAAAAGTGACTTACAACCAATTCTCAGAACTGTCTCCTTGTTCCTGTGGTCACATGATCAAAATTCATATGATTGGCAACAAGCATGTATTTATGATTTATATATACTGCGCGCGCACACACACACATATAGTACATAAAATTATTTGCTACAATGCTCTACCTGTCAATGACTACTTCAACTTCAACTACAATACACGAGCACACAATAGATACTAACTTAAGGTAAATCGCTCGAAACTTGATTGCAGAAAATACGACTTCAGTAACAGAGTTGTCAATGCCTGGAATGCACTACCTGACTCTGTGGTTTCTTCCCCAAACCTCCAAAACTTTAACCTTAGACTGTCTACTGTTGATCTTACCCCATTCCTAAAAGGTCTGTAAGGAGCGCGCATAAGTGCACCAACATGCCTACCGTCCTTGGCCTAATGTCCCCTTTTATTCGTACCCATTTCATGTAATCATAATCATGTTCTAACTATATCTGTTTTCTAATATATGCTTAACAAATAAATAAAATAAATAAATCACCAAGAAGTATCATGTATTCTGAGATAGAATATCATTTTTCATTTTATTTTTAAAGACTTAACAAAGAACACAATTTAAAAGGGCAATTTTCACAAATCAATTATTAATATTTGCATTTGTTCTCAAAAAGGAAACCCTATTCCAGAGATCACTTGGCTAAAAGATGGGCAAACTTTTCTACAGGATGATGGCTATCAGTTAATGTCTAGTGGACGTTTTCTTCAAATTACAAATGCTCAAGTTGCTGACACAGGGAGATATACCTGTGTTGCCTCCAATACAGCTGGAGATAAAAGAAAAAGCTTCAGTGTTAATGTACTTGGTAAGATTTATTGAGTAATAGACATGTTTGGGTTCCTTTGAAGAAGATAGATCTACTTGGATTGAAAAAAAAATCAGTAAATATACTGTGTATACATATATATCTGAAGTTGCAAAGTTATTGATAAAACTTTGGAGGGCTGGTGCTAAGACACTGGAAGTTGTGTCAATGATATCATTGTGGCAAGTACCAAAAGTGTTGTCTCCAAGTCACTGAAGGCCTAAGGGTTATATGCAACTTCCAAGAAACTTCCCAAAATTTTGTATAGAAATACAGCATTTCATATGATATTGTCTCTCTCCCTCTACAAAAATGAAGAAACAAATGGGTTACTTAAACCCCTTCCAAACACCTAAAATGCCCTGCACCAAAAGATTCTCAGCTGCTTGTCTCTCCTGTGTAAAATAGTTCTTTAAAAAACAGGCTTAGGAAGTCCTCTTTCAGATTTCAATTCCCTCCTTTACTTCAGCGATAGTGATAACTTAATATTCTATCTGGATTCTATTTCTTATACAGTATTTCTTGATTGGTGGAACCCCCCCCCTTTTTTTAAACCCCCGGACTTCTGAAAAAAAGAAAATAAATAAATAAAACTCCAAGGAATCCCCATTTTTCCTCTTATTTGGCATAGACAATGCCAAATATGCAATCAGGGAGCATCACTGTGCTATCACTATGCTATCAGGGAGCTTGTTTTAAAAAGCCATTGTTAAATTGTTCCATTAATGAATGTGTTAAAAAAAAAACACCAACTTCACTGTTTCAAAATGAATGTATAAAGAAAAAAAAGAATTATAAACACAAGAAATCATTTTTAAAAATGAAATAAGGAAAAAAATTGTTTTCTGATGGTCAAATTTAATCTGAAGCTTCAAGATAGATTGGCTTTTTAGTTCAGGTGCAATATCAGTGCTTCAGTGGTTTGAATCCAAGCAATATTTCTGCATGAAGCTCAGTCTCTGGGAAACAAGTGTCATATGTATTTTGGCTCTTAAATAGCTCAACCTGTGCTCTTGGATTAAGTTGCAGGTATATCAGATGGCCAAATATTTTCCCCATAAGTAGTTCCTTCAGAAGTACAAATGATGCTCACAATTATCAGGATTATTTTAAAACAATGCTCTTTTTTTTCTGAACTTGCTCAGTGTCTCCATCCATTGTGGGTTCAGATAATGACGGGGGTGCAGAAGAAGCCACGGTTATCTTAAATAACCCAACCTCCTTAGTTTGTGAGGCTTACTCATATCCATCAGCCACAATCACCTGGTTAAAAGATGGAGCTCCCATAGAGTCAAATAAGAACATCCGGGTTTTACCAGGTAATTATTTGAATGCCTCTATTATTAAAATAAATTTGGAATCAGTTGGATTGAGATGGATGGCTATAACATTGTGATGGAGCAGTGGTTAGAATGCAGTATTGCATGCAGGCTCACTGCTCTCTGTCAGGAGTTTGACTCTGACCAGCTCAAAGTTGATTCAGCCTTCCAGCCATCCAAGCTCGGTAAAACATGCTGGCTCTGTAAACTGCTTAGAGAGGACTGTAGAACACTATGAAGCAGTATATAAGTCTAAGTCCTATTGCTATTGTGATAGAAATTGAATGAAAGAAAGAAAGAAAGAAAGAAAGAAAGAAAGAAAGAAAGAAAGAAAGAAAGAAAGAAAGAAAGAAAGAAAGAAA